TCTTCCTTATACAAGGAGAAGATAAAGTACCTCCATGGTAAGTACATTTGGAACAAGGAGTTTAAAGAAGGTGATCTTGTGTTATTGTTCAATTCTCGGTTACAGATGTTTCTGGAAAAGTTGAAGTCAAAATGGAGTGGCTCGTTTGAAGTTGTTGGTGTGACAACATTCGGTGCATTGGACTTGAAAAATAAAGATGATGAAGTGTTTAGAGTCAATGGGCACCGGGTGAAACACCATATTGGGAAAGTCAATGATGGCCACGTCATGGCGGTTCTCCATTTCAAGTGATTGATAATTTGCGTCATGTCGCGACGTTAAATCAGGCGCTTCTTGGAAGGCAACCCATGTGTCTTTTTCTTTTTCTTCTTCTTTAGATAGGTTTTATTTTGTGCTAACTAGTTTTGAAGTGTATGCAGGAATGAGTGTGCTTTGTAGGGACTGTGCCTAGAAAAATGGCCAAGTGTTGAAAAAGTACGGACTGCGCATCTATTGTGCGGACCACATAAAAATATATGCCACAACAGAGAGGAATCTACGACCGCACAACTGGAGACCCAAAAATGCAACTCTCTGAAGTTTGAAATAGCGGAGAAATGGCCATTCTGCAGCCGCACTCCGGCCGCACTCACTTTTGTGCAGACCGTAGAGCTTCAGCTAGGCTCAGGTAAAGAATGCGAACCACACTCAAAATTGTGCGGCCGCACTCATCTGCATCTTTGACCTAATTCCGTCAACCTATAAATAGGTCCTCATAGATCTATTCACAACTTTACACATTCTAACCTCTTAAGACTTAAGCAAGCACAGTGCACACAAATTGTTTCACACTCCACACTCATTTCATCAGTCTAGATTCTTCTGTGCATCCTTCAACACTGGTATGTTCAATTCATGTTTAGGCCTAAAATGTCAAATGTTCTTCATGTGTGCTTAAAATTGTGTGGTAATATCGTATGCACTCATTGGGGGCCGAGTAAATCATGTATCATGATCAATTTTCCAATATCATGTCTATATTTTGCAAAATTTTGAAATAACCTAAGTCAATGTCATATGATTTTAAATTGTGCGGTCCGCAGATTCTGTGTTAGGGCACAATATTGAGCATGTAATGTGCGTACCGCACCCAAAATTGTGCGGTCCGTATAAATTTGTGCGGTCTATATAAAAATGTCTGCGACCACACTTTGAAACATCAGAGAATCAGTAGTCTGAACCTGGTTTTGTGCGGCCACACTCAAAATTGTGCGGTCCACACAAGGTAGTCTGCGGCTGCACTCAATATTGTGCGGTCCGCACTTTCACTTCTGTGAATTGTCTTGTTTTTCTGCAACTATTAACTGCCTGTGGACTTATTTGAATCTTGTGTCGATGAATTGCAGACAATGGTGCGATCTCGTGGTAGAGGCGATACATCAAAAGGGAGGGGTGAGCCCTACCGAGGCCGAGGCAAGAACAACCTATCACTTTCTATCCAAAAAGAGATAAACAAGAAGGCAACTGCCAACAGAGTCCCTGAACCTTCAGAATCTAGTGAATATCTCCCGTGTAGGGACACCTCAGAGGGAAAATCTGTGCAAGCACAACTGATGCACAATCCCAACAAAACAGCTTCCGGGTAGACAACAACTGAAAGCTGAACCCTCCTCCTCTGCTAGCTCTTCTGAGGGCTCGGAAGAGGATAGCCAAGATTCCGAGCCTTCTTCCTCACATGCCCCTGTAACACCTATTATAGTAGATGATGACGATGATGTTCCTAATGATGGTAGTGGAGGTGACACTAGAGTGGGCGGCCTAGAGAGGTCGAAGAAGAAGAAGAAGGAGATATGGGAAGATAGATTTGTGAGCTTGACAACCTTCACAAAGTTCAGAGAATGATGGCCCTAGAGATCGCTCACACTTGAGCGGCAATTCTTAGTAAAGGACTTGGATAAATACAATCCGAATGTCCTTAGGCAGTTCAGGGAGCGCAAGGGGTGGATATGGTTCACCCAGAGTGTTATGGATGCTAATGAACACTTGGTACGTGAATTCTATGCCAATGCGGCACACATCAAGAAAGGTACCAAAGTTACCAAAGTCAGGAATTTGAAGGTCAAATTCGATCAATGCACTCTAAACACTTACATGGGATTCGAGGAGGTAGAGGAAGTCTAGTACATGAAAAAGCTTTTTATGGGTGATGCAGCTCGCCCTTGGCTAGTAGAGATCTTGGCAGCTCCAGGACCACCACCACCAAGGATCACAGTAAGGGTTTCCATTACACGGGTCACCCTCAATTTTGAAGCAAAATGGTGGAAAACTTTTGTGTGCAGCCAGATAGACCCGAGCCTGAATAAGAACAATCTTCCACTCTCCCGAGTAGTTTTGGTGGCATCTGTCATGGTCGGGTACCCAATCAATGTGGGTGCCATCATATCGGCCAACATGTTAGTATTTGTCTGAAAAGGTGAAAACTCTTATCCATTTCCCAACACCCTCACAGAATACCTTACGGATGCAAAGGTGGAGCCGAGGAGATTTGATAGATAGGTGCGGGCCAAAAAGCCCTTCTCATGGTACCATTTGCAAGGACCGGGGAACCCAAAGTTCAAGGTTTAAGGCAACTGCCACCGGAGTCCAGTCTGATGAGCCAACAATGGTGGTTACAGATTCAGCTGTTGAGCCTTCTACATCTATCATGCCTTCCATAATAGCCGGTCCTTCCACCGAGACAGCTAACATGCCACCACCTCCATCTTTTAGACCATCTACATCAGTATTAGTGCCTGCCTCATCCACATATCCACTCACTGCGCTGCGAGTCTCTTAGACATTCGCGAGTCTCAACAACTGGATGCAGACAGCTACTTTGAAGCTGTCTGACATATCTACTGTTGTTACAGCACAGTATTCTGCCCCATCAGCATCACAGGTACCTTCTCCAGTGGAGGAAACATTGAAGAAGATTCTGGAAAACCAACAAACCATTATGGTACTCTGGTGGCACATGGGGGAGTCATTGAGGAGCTGGGCAAACAGGTGAAGAAGATGCGAAAAGCTCAGGCTTCGAAGAAATCAGTGGATAGATTGAGAAAAGAAGTGGCCAAGATAGCATCCGCTGGGGATATACCACTTGATTTGCTGATGGAGTCAACACCAGTAGCACCATTAGTACCTGAGGCATCAGAGACAACAGCTGGCCAGTTCGAGGAGCCAGACCTTGCTGCCCACACTGCTGAGAAGGTGCTTCAGATGTTCACCAACCCCGTTATTCCCCGAGCAGAAGATGATGAGATCTAGTTGGAGGATCCCGAGGGTGCTGATGATTCCATGCACACTGAGACCACATAGGAAATTCTCTTCACTCTCTGCCCTTTCTTATTCTAATTTTTGTTAAGCATTGAGGACATTGCTTATTCTTATTCAGGAGGGTGGACTATTTTGGTTGGTTTGATATGATATTGGCCTGTAATAACTTTAATTCTCGTTTTCTTTTATCTTTATTCTCTCTTTCATTATGTATATATTCCTCCCTCTCTCTTGATGTATATGTCACACCTCTTTTTTTACCATCAGATGGGGTATATAAGGGAGTTTTTCTAATTAAAGTGACATTATTCGAAATGAGATTATTTTATTTATTTTTCAGAGTCGCCACTTGGGATAGTTTATTTGGTGTCCCAAGTCACCGGCTTATTTTAAAATTCCAAATGGAGGAAAATCGACTTTATTTAAAAGTCTGCGAACCAGAAATTCTAAGTAAGGAATTTTGTTAACCCGGGAGAAGGTGTTAGGCATTCCCGGGTTTCGTGGTTCTAGCACTTTAAACTATTAATAATTGGCATATTATCTGATTAATTACATGTTTTAAACATATTGTGTATTTTTAGCTTTATAATCGCCTTTTAATTATTTTAAACCGCTTTTAGGATTTATGAAATTATTTTTTTTGGACAAGTTACGATTGTCGTACACTTGTTTGTTTTGGAACACGCCGCAAATCGCGCTATATGAAATGCACCCGCGATTCGCGACATGTTTATTTTTAATATTGTTGAAGATTGAAATTAGGTCACATAAATGTACCCTCGGATTTGGGAATTAGATACCACACCTACGTCACGAAAACCATACCCGTAGCTATGATGATTTTATTATAACGCGCCTAAAACAACTACGAAGATTCAAGACATTTTCTATACTAATATTTTATTTATGTGAGGGCCATAGGTTATGAATTTTGTTTGCGTATAGTACACCTCAAATTATTTTAAAGAAAAGAGATTTGTATTTTTCGTTTAAAAGAGAAATTGAAAATGCTCCTACTTTAATCTAATTTAAAAATTGGTATCACAACTACGCCATGGGAACCGCACCCGTAGTTGTAATGATTTAATTATATACAAATTATTAGATTAAAATTATGCGTTGTTTTTTAGTCAATTATCTTATTAAGAATTATAAGTAGTAATGAAGTACTTTCAAAAAGGTATGTATCAAAGATGTAGCAGACGTATGATTATGGTGCTATTTCCTTATGCTATGAACTATAATAGCGGTGAGTAGGAGTGGCAAACGGACGGGTTGGGTTGGATATGGTTCGGGTTGAAAACGGATAATGAAAAAACGGGTAAATTATCCGGCCGACCCATATTTAATACGGATAAAAAATGGGTTAACCGGCGGATAATATGGATAACCATATTATCCATTACTTCTTACATACGATCACTTTTGGAAGAATTCTTAGTCTCCCTAACTTGAGGAACCCACAATTTGAGGCTTTACAAATATAAAAGTTATACTCATTGGTTATTCATTGGCTATCCATTTTCTAAATGGATAATATGGTTCTTATCCATATTTGACCCGTTTTTAAATAGTTCATTATCCAACCCATATTTTAATGGATAATATGGGTGGTTAACTGTTTTCTTTGAACCATTTTGACACCCCTAGTGGTGAGATATGAAATCCATAAGAAAATTGAATAATAGGATATCACAAGTTTCCAGTAAAAATTCGACTCGATCCAAAGATGATATTTACTACAGAACCCTTTATTTCTCTATTCTTCAACTATAATTCAGTTGAATACACAATATTATTTTTTTACTGCTATACAATCTGAATTTACACTAAGGTTGTTATAGACAGAATTACAAAAGAAACTTTCATCATCCACTTTTGGAAACAGACAGTTCAAATTCTTAAGAAGAGTTAAAGAAAAAATCAAGTATTCAGTATCATTTGAGACATATTGAGCACTTTCCTTGTGATCCAGGCCACATAAAATTAAATGTCTCCAACTGTGTGATATTCCGCGATTTATTATCATATACAATCCTGTACTACTGCAGCATGGTCAGATTCAAACTAAGCAAAATAAAATCATGAATGAAATCAAACGCATATAGCAACAAAGATCTAAGAATTTATTATCAAGCATAGAAACTCAACATTTCACAAATCAAAGGCTTGAATTCATGATCCAATACCTGGTTAGAGATGAAAACAACTTAGGAACACCACATGAAGGTGGAGAGGTAGCCATTAACAGATTCAACAGCGCAACAACAAAAACAAATCATCGGACAACGAGCGGCAATTCCACGGCTCAAAAACAGCTAGAAGCGAAACTCAAGAAGCTCCAGCCAACAAACAACAACGAGCTCACAATCAAACAATTCCAACAGCTCTCAGCTTCGAAGCAATCTTTACGGCTTCATTAAGCTCCGAAATTCCCAGAAAAATGTGGAAAATAAAGTAAAATTCGTGGCTGAAAATCAGCTTCGTCACCTTCAAATTTCAGCTCTAGATTCTGTAATTTCCACTTGTTACCAAAGATTTCAGCGTGTGTGTGTTGATGAAATCAGAGAAAGAACGAGAGGGAAGGGGTCTGGGTTTCCGCCATTTTTTCTGTATCTTTTGGGGGAGGGATGCCTTTGAGTTTGTTCTCCTTTTTAGTCTGTGATTTTGAGAAAATGAAAAGGAAGAAGAAGGGAGGTGTTTTTGTTGAACCCAGAAGCAAACGCCGTTTTTGTTCCTTTTTAATTGGGTTTTGGTCTTTGCATTTTCATTAGATTTGCTATTGATTTTCGTTCTCTTGCTAGAGATGAGGAAATGAAGCCAGAAACGGCGCTTCGCCCTAGAATGAGGAGGGTTCTGATCTTTTGCTGTCAAGAAGGGGAAAGCTGCGCCCTCTTTTTTTTTTACAGGAGGAGCCCCTCTATTAGGTCTTGCTAGGTTTTAATTGAAAGGGGATGGGTTTTGGGATGATTCGGGTAGGCTAGTTATTTGGGACGGAATTTTTGGACTGATTTTGTATTAAATTGGCCCAATTTCAAAATAAAAAATCCCCTCGTTCAATTCCCCCTTTAATTTCCTTTTGTTATAAAATAAAGACTGTAAAGTAAAGACAAGTATAGAGAGAAACTGATATATTATTCGAATTCAAACTGATGTACATAATGAATTGAAATCTCTTCTATTTATAGAAGAAAGGAAGTTGTTGTGTAAGCTGCTACTGCAAGCTGCTGTGTAAGCTGCTACTGCAAGCTGCTGTGTAAGCTGCTACTGCAAGCTGCTGTGTAAGCTGCTACTGCAAGTTGCTGTGTAAACTGCTACTATACCAGATAGGGATAATCTTCTACTGAGAGCAATGTTTATCCATGACGGAGTACTGAATGGATAAGCTCATTTACCCGGTATGGATAATCTTCTACTTAGGGTAATGTTATCTATAACCGGGTACCGAAGTGATAAGCTTCTTCAGGAAGCTTATTTTCAATAGAGTACTAAATAGATAAACATATTTACGGTGGAGTCCCATATGGATAAGCTTATTCAGGAAGATTATTTACAACGGAGTACTAAATGAACATCCATAATATAATATATTTAT